TACTAACACCGTAGTCATCCAGATAATTATAAACCAAAGGAAGAGGAGAGGGTACTTACCTTTCTCTCAAACCGGAAGTAAAAGATTTTTGACGGATAAATCTCTAATGATTGAAAGATCAAAATTCTGCTAATAGGGTAATAAAACTCAATTTTATTGCTTCGCATATAGCGCTCAATATTAGAAGTCAGACTCAGATTATATATCTGTCTTTTTCAAAATAACTGATGAAATAGAAAACGATGGTTCGAAGTATGTAAATCCTCATAATGACAGTAAAACTACGGTTTATTTTCTTCCATTTAAGTGTTTTGTGTCGACTTGATAACATATATATAGATATCGACAGCAACTCACCTATTACTTATACGATCTAGCTCACTAGTGTGAAGTCCAATGCTATCCAGGTGTGATCCTAGAAAATAAAATTTTCAATATGAGTGATACAACTATATTACTAGAGGTCGCTCATCTGCAAATTGATCAATCCTTCCTCCTCGAATTAAGTTCATGCATTCTACTAGTAATCCCTATACTTAAAATAGCAATCTGAAGTCTCAAATATTTGAATTTTTCATAAGTGAATACTTATCGTCAAGATAAGGATAACGACAAGTTACACATCTCTTTCGGGATCAATCAATATTGTGCCAGCAGACCTATCCAAAGATATCGTTGAATGATATTAGACTCAAGAGGCTAAGGTCTAAGGGGTAAAATGCTCTAGACCTCCTAAGTCAAGGTCTTTAATCAAGCAGGGGTCTAATTCAATCACTTCAGTTTATCCTCAAAAGAAGTCCTCGTTGTCATGATACATTAGCATCCACGAAATGGATTGGCACTCATTTTAGGTTCAAGGGCATTTTCTTGTTAATGCATTTCTCTATCAATTAGTACACTTGCGAGGGTTAAGGACTTGGGAGTGCTGAAGGTGGACTGACTGCCAGAAGTAGGTCCAAGTGGGGACACACTGTCCAACAGAAGATCCCCACTAAAGGGTTGGTCATCAAAACTAGAGAGGGAAGACCTACAGGTGGACAGCAACCTTGACGTTTACTAGAAGGATGATTGGTTCGACTATAATGATGTCCAGTGGTTCGTCCAACGAAAAGAGTGGGCTGATGCGCTAGACGGACAGCACTAATAGAGGTCGGGTATTTCAAATTAAGTTCTCGTTCTCCATGTCTTTCCAGAGTAAGGTGACTCACCGCGAGACTCTTTATGATCTTCCAATTTTCATCCAAAATTAAAGAGCTCGACCTTTAAGGTAGACTTAGCGATGTTAATCTGGATGGACTCAGAGTATGACAAGCATCAAAATAATCCTCTAGTTGTCTTAACCCAGTTCCCTAAGGAGTAAGGGTCCGAGGAACCATCAAAGCGTGGGTAAACGATTAAGGTGACTCTAAGGTGATGGTCTTGCTGTCTAGGCATCAGGTCTAAGTTGAAGAAGTTGAGTGGGCATCCTCCCGACTGACATGAATTGACTGACTGGGTCACGTACCTAGAGTGGTGAGAGTCAACAAAGTTCCTCATTTGTGGTTTCGTTAGCGAGCCTACAGATTAACTTAGGTCGTCTAACCTCTTTTGAAATCCGATCGAGATTCCTTGGAAAAGTGCTAAGTGCAAGCTTAAAAATTGGTGCGCGATGGATACATTCACTTAACACACATAAGGTGAGGCACATCTTTAGGACTCGACTTATTGGTTACTATTTTCTCCAAATTCCTGCAGCAAATGTTGGACGTGCAAACCACACAATTGTGGATAAGCTAGGTGTATAGGATGGATTTTGGAGGAAGTGAAGCATCCTAAACGCTAGGAGGTAAAGCATGGTCCAATAGCCCTACACATGCTGCTGGACATGCTAAGGTCACAGCAAACCTAACAAAGCGTTTAACGGGCACCTAAAAGTCACTAACTAGCTGCAGGAAAATTTACTTGGTACCAGCCAATATTTGCATGAAGTTAACTTACATTGTCTAGCGTGTTGGTAAGGAAATCCCCGGAGGGTGTGTGACAGCACCTAAACAAAGTTCTTTAAAGTGTCGACTAACAACAATGTATGCTCAACAGTTTGCAATGTAACAGTGAGACAGCACGTTAAACTCAAAGTGTAGTTGCCTTATATAGTCACTCATGGCTTCGAGGTATTAATTGGCAGCACTCATCTAAAACCGTACCCAGAATGTCTCTCGAATAACCTTAAGTGTGGAAATACGATGTGGGAATTACTCCTACAGCAGGTGTGAACAATAATTCCTATCGGCAAAGTATATGGCATAGTACTCTCAAGAGTATTAATCAATGGAAGAAGTAAACCCATAGATAAGCCATCATAGCGATCAAAGTTCAAGCATAGCTTAGCCATTGCTCTGGAGCATAGTGATGATGTGAAAACTACAAGCGATGGACTCGTGAGGAGAAATATATGTGAAGGCAATTTTGAAACAAAGAATTATCCACAGCGAGTGTGAGGAATTATATTCAATCATCATAAAAGACTTGTTCGCAGTAAACTCTCGTAGAAATTCTTGTTAGATTAACCCGCTTAGGGCGAATCGAATCGACCGTACATATCGAATCTAGACCACATCAAGCAACAGATTGCACAAGAAGTATAACACGCAACGACAATACAACAAGAATACCAACATCAATTACATAAGAATGAACTTTCATCTTTGGAGCCGCTACCCAACTGTTCAAAACTGAGTCCCTCTGCTTTAGCGGAGAAGAGTGTTTCCACCATAGACTCCGATGGTTCGCTCCGAGGCAGGAACTCTGGATCGTCATTTCTTGTGATAGGTCTAGGCCGTAGGTATGAATCCTTGACAGCGATTTCTGTGAAGTGTATTCGGCTGTGATTCGTCCTGGATAGTGGTATCGCTAGCCAGCCTCGAAACGAGTGTTTGGAGACCGTCCATTTCGTACCAGGCGCCTGACAGTACAAAAGAGGTGGTTAGTCCAAATCGCTCCTTGACAGGATGCTCGTCCTTTTATGGAATTGCTGGGACACGTGTATTAGGATCTAAGAACAATTCTCAATCTTCCATGGTGCAGGGACAGCAGCGCTGATTTGGCGTATAATGCTTGAGCACACTTAGCAAATTGTTTACGGGCAAGGGGGAGGTGAAAACAACGTGAGGATCTAATGGGGACGGGAGCAGCAAAGGCATTTCATAATAGTGGTGAACGCTTTTGTTTGAGGGAAAAAGTCCAGCCATTGGGAAAACAGTCGCTAGTAGAAGTGAAGAAGCAAGATGAGTGTCGGATTT